CTATGGTCATCGGTCACTTACCCTGGACCTAGGTCTTCGGCGCACGTTCCGCTGGGTATTCACTGTCGCTGCAGTCCCCTTTGCCATCATCGGCATTGACTTTCTCAGGCATTTCGACCTCTTGGTCGATGCGAAACGCCAGATGATAGTCGACACTGCAACAAAACTCAGCGTACGTGGCAGCACCGCCGATGTGACATCTATATCCCCGGTCTATGCATTTCCCCAGACCTCGTCAGCCTACGCTAATCTCCTTTCTCAGTATCCCAAGCTCGTTCAGCCAATGAACGCAGCTTTGCCCGTGGCAGCTCAAGTCACGCACCACATACGGACGAATGGCCCACCTGTGTCATGCCGTCCACGCCGACTATCGCCTGAGAAACTAAAGGTAGCTAGGGCGGAGTTTGAGCACATGCTTGAACTTGGAATAATCCGCCCTTCCGACAGCCCTTGGTCCTCGCCCCTACAGATGGTGCCCCAAGAAATCTGGTGACTGGCGCCCTTGCGGTGATTACCGCGCACTCAATCGCCTAACCGTCCCAGATAGGTATCCCATCCCACACATGCAGGACCTTACCGCATGCCTCACAGGTAAGACGATCTTCAGCAAGATCGATCTGGTTCGCGCCTATCACCAGATACCTGTGGAAGACAATGACATTCCTAAAACAGCCGTCATCACTCCTTTCGGTTTGTTTGAATTTTTAAGGATGCCATTTGGACTGTGCAACGCCGCACAAACCTTCCAGCGCTTCATCCACGATGTTACTCGTGGCCTAGACTTCGCATATGCCTACCTCGATGATATCTTAGTAGCCAGTTCATCGGAACAAGAGCACCTCGAGCACCTTCGAGCTCTCTTCCAGCGCTTGACCCAACACGGTGTCACAGTCAACCCGACTAAGTGCGAACTCGGCAAATCAACGGTAGAATTCCTAGGCCACCTCGTTTCATCGTCTGGTATCGAAGTCCTTCCTGATAAGATCCAGGCAATCAAGGACTTCCCAGCTCCGACTTCCTTCAAGCACCTCCGTCGATTTTGTGGTTTGGTCAACTACTATCGACGCTTCATTCCGCGCTGCGCTCAGCTCATGCAGCCACTGACTGACCTACTCAGAGGAAATGAACGTAAGTTCGCTTTCCCTGACACAGCACAGGCAGCCTTCGCCGAGCTCAAGGATGCTATCTCCAACATAGCCCTCCTCGCTCATTCCGAATCGACTGCACCTCTTTCTATTACGACTGATGCCTCAGACGTAGCAGTAGGAGCCGTCCTCCAACAACACGTTGGTGGGCGCTGGCAACCCCTTGGGTTCTTCTCCAAGCGCCTGCAGCCAGCGGAATCCCGCTACAGCACGTTTGGCAGAGAACTGCTCGCCATTTACCTAGCAATACGTCACTTCCGGCACACACTCGAAGGCCGCGCTTTCACGGTCTACACTGACCACAAGCCCCTTATATTTGCCTTCAACTCTGCTAGCGACAAATACTCACCACGGGAAACAAGACACCTAGACTTTGTCACGCAGTTCACTGCTGACATACGTCATGTCTCAGGTGTCGACAATCCCGTCGCCGACGCTCTCTCACGCGTCAACCTCACTCTGCAGTCTTTGCCTACCGTCGACCTTGCCGCAATGGCATCGGCTCAGGCTCAAGACGAAGATATACAGCGCACTCTGCAGTCCACTTCGCTGCATGTGCAACCTGTTCCTCTCCAAACCACGGAAGGAACCATCCTCTGTGACACGTCCACAGGTTGTCCTAGACCTCTCGTGCCCGTCTCCTTCAGACGCACAGTCTTCGACGCACTGCACTCACTGTCACATCCCGGTATCCGTGCATCTTTGAAACTGGTCACCGAACGTTTCGTTTGGCCACGCGTAAACAAAGATGTTCGGACCTGGGCTTGCGCCTGCCTTCACTGCCAGCGCATGCGTTCACTACGCCCGACCCCGCCCCGTGCACAGACTAGAGATGTGCAAATGCACAGCGGACTCTCTACCTGCACTCACGTCTTCCTCCGCACCGACGCAGTGCGGCGCCCTCTCCAGCCTCCCTACACTGGCCCTTTCAGAGTTCTACAACGGACTCCGAAACATTTTACTATAGACCAGAATGGTCACCGAACAACGGTGTCCATCGACCGCCTCAAAGTGGCTTTCTTTGACGAGCCACTTGCAGCTCATCCTGATGCTCTCTCACAAGCACCCGCACCTGTGGTGACTTCCCGAGCACTGGATAACCCGGATCCCTCCGTACCCCTTGACCCGCAACCTATCCCGCCGCAACCCCAGGCAACCGACCGACGCGGTAGACAGGCCAAACGTCCGGTCCGTTTTTCTGATTTTGTAAGCGTTTGCTATTTCCATTAACACGCCTTTTTCGTATTTAATGGTTATCCTGCGTCTCACCCACAAACGTTTTGCATAATCGATAAAAAAACCCAAAACATTTTGAAAAACCTAAAAAGCGTATTTGCTTTTATCATACATGCCATGTCCCCTCTCCGGCGTCAAGCCACTTCCCAGACCCTTGCCAACCCCCTCTGAGTTCTATCTTCCAGAAACACAACCGCCGGAGCTGCCCAGGCAACCCTCGAGTGACTCGCCAACCGGCTCAACGCAACCCTGGAGTGACTCGCCAGCCGTCCCACAGCCCCCATCCTCACCCCATTCCCCGCCCTCGATCGCAGACACCCGCGAAGGATTGGTCCCTAAACGCCGCCTAGGCATTGCCGACGAGGACGCCGGATTTCTTCGTGGGACGAGGACGCCTGGATTTCTTCGTGGGACGAGGACCGTGGACTAAAGTGCGGTGGGGGAGTGACACCTCCCAAGCGCACCGTCGGGTCTGCAGCAATGGGAAGGTCCTGTCGGCCTTTTTTCTGGACTAGCCAGTTTTTTTTGCAGTCCGACCAGCCCGCCCCGACGGCCCACCGATGATGCACTCTGGTCCACACGATCGTCATAAATAAAACTAACAAAAGCCTGGACCCAGCGAAATCTGCTACACCCCACTTTGGAAGCTATTCTCAAGCCCCTGCAAACATTTGCATCCACCCTCACCTTCCGTCCCCCCACTAACAGCTCCATCGAAGGCTTCCATCCTTCAGCCTTCTAGGGGGAGGCCCTTGTAGTGCAACTGAAAACATGCTCTTTCAGTATCTTATAACATTGGATTTTATGGTTGTTTTAACCTTCGAAACGTCCATTTGTTTAACTGACTGCACATCCATGGACACAAACCGTTTTGGTGAGTTCCTTGCTGCACGTTTCTCGCTCTCTCTGATTCGCTTCCTATTCTTGTAGCCTGCATAATACACGTTGGGTTCAGTCTCCTCCGACTTCTATACTATCGTACTTGACACGTCTTACGTGTCATTGCTTACCGACTAGTATCCCAGGTTCCGCCCAACAGAACCATGGATACCGTAGGCACGAAGCTTATGAAGCAGAGCTAGGTGACTGACTCCGTCGAATGCCTTCGAAAAGTCTAGGTAAACCACGTCAAGGGGATCCTTCATCAAGCGCTTCGGTCCATGAATCCCGAGCAAGAAGCAGATTTGTTAGGCAAGATCGTTTGCGCCTAAAGTTGCGTTGGTGGTGAGAAATTAGCTTCAGACTCTCAAAATAAAGTGTAATTTCATCTGCAACTAACGATTCCATTACTTTTGATAAAACAGGGAGGAGAGTAATGGGTCGGCAGTTGGCAGGATCCGATCGCTTGCCTCCTTTGTATATCGGAGTGACTATCCCGCTTTTCCACTCAGACGGAAGTGTTTGGGAATTGACTAGACTTTGGAAAAAGCTTGCGAGGTGTGCTGCTATGGTGGAAGCAAGAGTTTTAAGAAGAATTCCCCGCTAACAAGCCTCACTCTAAACAAGGCAACGATGAACATATTACATAATGCCAACCATAATTGACCGAAGACGTCTTGGCGCCGTGTGAGAGCAACAGAAACTCAGTAGTTGCGACGATTTGTAGCGTGCAATACTCTTAGTAAGAACAGGTAAACCCCGTGGGTCAGGAACGAAAGCAGTGAGATCGAGATGGCTGCACCCCACACAGCGTGTTGAACCAGGTTTCAGGATGCCTATGCGGTCGTTACCAAAAACCGATGAGGCTGAACATAAAGGCAGATAATTCGTGGGTTGCTGCATTGTCTAATGACAACAACCTAGTAAGAAAGCGAACTAGTTGGAAGAGCTGGCTCAACAGGGTTGTAGACGAGAATAGGGGTGCAAACGGAAGTAACAACCACGGCAATCTAATAAGGAAGCAGCGATCTCTTACTTTACAGGATGTAGCAAGGATCGTTTCAAACACGCTACAAATAGTAAAATAACTGTGGCGAAACGAACTGACATGCCGCTTCGCAACACTTAACCAAGGTATCGGTAAATACAGTAAGAAAACGAAAGTCCTGATTGATGTCTAAAAACATTTTATTTGGTACGCCCTCCCTGAAGTTGTTGTCTCAGCGCCCAATACGGAGGCCTTCAAACAGCGCCTAGAGCTTGGCTCTTACCTCGCTGGTCTTCCACGTTGCTAAGATCTGGCCATTTGCCAAGCTAACACGCGGCGCTTCTATCATTTTGCTTCCATCCAACTTTGCCGAATTTACCTACACCACTCTCTTGTTCCAGGTATCCACGTTCCCACAGTCAACTCGTTGAATACTTGTGCTGAACACCACTACTGCGTCGAGACCCACAACATCTGGTACCTACCGACGAGATTAGGACCTTGCCGTAAGATCCCGAGGCAGAACCACCGAAAAGCTACGCTTACTCGTTCTGCGCAAACCCGTGAAACCCGTGTTGTCGCGTTCGATATATTAAATAATATTTACTGACAGTACTGCGACTCTTCGTTTCCGGACAGTTCATTGTACTACAGTGGGGATAGAGTTATGTCAACCAGTTAAACTTAAATGTCTTAACCTTGAAAACCAGTTTATGGAGTTTAACTCTACTAACTAGTGATGTCAATGACCATAGCAACGCCGCGGTAAAATGCAATCCTCGGAAGGAAGTGACCATGAGGAACTGATACAAATTTGTCTCAACACTTCCATTCCAGATGCCATCTCGTGGAATGTAGAGCAGGTATGTGACTGGATTGCTCGTATTGGTTTTTCGTGCTATAAAGTAGTGCCGGTTTATCAATGAATCATTCCCCATTGAGTAGGACTGTTTCCTAGACAACCACATCGACGGTAAAAAGTTAGTAAATGTCCACGCATCGACTTTATCAATGATGGGAGTCAAAAATTTTGCTGACATTCAGGTAAAATGTGCGCATGCTTAAAGGTTCTAGAAAATAACAACGGAAATCAGAGGACTGCTGAATTTAGAGGAACCGAATAACAAACGTACGATACGTCTACCTCCGCGAAACTTTCTTGGCATGTATTTAGAAACGCAGTCGTACAACGGATGTTCTCTTCAAGACCTATCTTTCCCAAGATTTGTTTTTCATACAGTTGACAAAGTTTGGAAGCCTCCTCTTGGAAATGAAGGAATCGTTTTCGATTATCATAGTTGAACTACATCGGATGGGAGATGTTGTGCTAAGCATCCTTACATTCCTTTTCTGAACCTATGCATCTTTTCTCATATGTCTGAAATATATAGGAATCTAAAGTGCCCTTCACTGCTGCATTTCAAATATAAATTTTAGTTTTATATATGACTCACTTTATGGACAAATTGGAGTTTATTAGCAGAAAGAAGAGCTTCATTTACTGGCAGCTGAACAGAATAATAGGTTTGCAGTTTGTAGGGTGGACTAAAATTTGTTAGTCTTGCATTCCGATTACTTACTGCTACGATTTTTCGTATACTATAGTCATGTTAATGAAATGTAAACATGGCTAGCAACAACATCCACCTCCAGCTCCTACGATGGCTATAACCATCGCCTTGAAATAGCAGCAGCATGACACTAAGAAAGTTGCAACTATCCAGGCTTGATAATGGTAACTGGATGATAGTGTGAAAGAATTCCCATTGCCTACGTACTTATCAGCTCACTAATTTGCTAGTTGAAACAGATTTGTTAGATAGCGTCTCGTAAACTATTCGACAGCGATGAAACGTAAGAGACGTGTCAAATACGGAACAGCAAAGATGGAGGAAGGTAGACCCAACGAAAAGTGCACAGGCTACAGTAGGTGGAGAGTGAATCAGCATGGATGAAGAACGACATAGCATAGGACTCACCAGAACGAATGCGTAAGGGGATATGCAAGCAGTTAAACAAGTACACAGTCAAAAACTACTATATATATATATATATCCAACAGTCTATGAATAGACATAAAGCCATCAAAAACCATGGAAAATAAAAGAAGGTACAGAAATTGTAAAAGCAAACACAACACATTAAAGTCCATGGTTTCGTCAGAGGATGAGATACTACCCGGTTGCCCAAGCTGAAGTAGGGTGTTGACTTAGGAGACACCAACCAGAGCCTTTGGCTGAATAGCCTATCCGCAAGGCAGCGGAGCGAATTCAGGGCATTGAGCCCATTGGGAGGCGGTGACTGATTGCTCAGTTCATGCGCCTTTCGTTTGTTCCTTTATCAAACAAGGGCCCAATGCTTCTCAAAATTACAGCACCATTTGCTGGAATACAAGGCTTTGCCAGGATGAAGCAAAGGGCAGTGACTTTATTTAGTGGCGAGTCACGTTCGCTACGTCACAGTGTTGTCAAACGGGCATAAGTGGCTTTTTATAGAGAGAACGGTTGCCAGGCGAAAACCCACCACGTCTTGGAACACTGCCGCCGAACCATATGCCGGAACGGGAAAATCCCGAGCCACCCAGCTGGCACCACCAGGAGGTTGTTCGTCAATCCAGCCTAAACGAATATAACATTCAATGTTGTGGAAACACTGAAAGTTTTTTGCTGTGAGGGCGTCCCCTTAGTTGGCACAGATATGGAAACCATTGTTAGAGCCGTCAGAGCCGTCAGATTCGTCCCTCCTCAAGCAAAAGGCGGATATATGGGCGAGATAGACGTTTATTGTCGAAACGCACAATCCCGCTAGCTAAAGGCACCGCAAAATGGTTATAGCTAGGGAAACGGTATTGTCACCAGCTGAGACGCAGCAAACGCCTTTCGAGGCGGAAAAGCCAGAAGCGCGCGAATGCGATTTTTCTGAATGACTCAAACACACGTAGTCATCGTGCGAACAGGCAAGCTTCCTAAGTTGTCTATGTACAGAATGATATTATATTTTAATAACATTTTACACAGACAAACGGGACAATCTCCAGGTCACTACAAGTTGACTGAACAAGGAGTTCGTTTTTGCTTCGTTGAGTTGCCTTGGTCTAACGAAACCTGATGCGATGGGATAACTAGGGAGCAAATAAAGACGATATGTATATAAAAAGCAAAGTGGAAAGAGCAGCGCAATTGCATAGCTATACGTCAAAGGGATAAATGAGAAAAGTTAAGTTGCTGTTCATGGGTTTTCAAAAGATTTTGAGCTTTTTGGTTAGTTTCAAATGGTGTTGGTACTTTTCGTGGGTTTTATAACGTTTGTAAGAGCAGTCGGCCAGTGGCCCAGTGTTCTGCTCGCCTGGTTTACAACTATGTTGCTAGTTCTAATCCGCGTAGCAGTGAGTGTCGTCGCGCTATACTCAGCCCGCGCGTAACTTGTGGTGGTCACACGGCAGCGAAACGCCGTTACGGCGTACACCTGGCAATCTCCTTGTAAGAGCATGAAAATGTGTCAGTCATGCTCTATGGAAAATAACGAATGCGGACCAAGTCTTAAATATGCATGTGAATTTTGGTTTACCTACCGAGTCGATTGATCGTAGGGGTGAGATTGGTTGACACCGTAGGCTCCGTTCGAGCGGAGTGACTGGTCTGGGGTTGTGGCGCTGGCCGTGTTGACGCAGGCTGAAGTGCTTACTAGACATGAGAGTCAAAAGTAATGCGCCGAAGCTTACCTGGTTTGGGACCAGCATGATGAACCGAAGCCATGTCGGCTAGATGCATGCTGCTTCCCGGTGCTATGCTGATAGGCTGAATGTGTGAAATAGCATCAGAGAAGAGAGTAAGAGCACCACAGTCATGTCATATGTATGTCATAAACTGAGAGGCGTAGTCTATGTTTCTAGCTCCCCCACGGTGAGTACTTGTCGGTCGCGCCATCGCTTGCGTAGATTAATGGATTGTAGTAAGTAAAGACTGAAATGTTGACCTTCGTAATAGTGAGGAAAATGTCAGATACCTAAGTAGGTAGCTAGTGGTTCCCTTCTGAAGATGCTGTAACGCTATTCAGCAGATCGCCGACGTTTCCAAAAGACGCTTAATGCTATCCCTAGATGGTTGATGAGTTGTGGGAGAACTGCACCGACGGCGGTGTCTGGTGCATGAGTCGTAAGAGATAATGACTCAGTTAGGTCTAGGTGGGCAAGAAGTGCTTTGTTAGAGATAGCATCTTTGAGTTTCTCGGAAGCCGGTTTGGTGTCGTGTGAGAAGTGAACAGAGCGTTGCTTACAGCGGAGCTAGTCAGTCGTTGGTTGCGTAATGCTCGCGCAGTTATGAATGAAGCGTCGGTAAGGTTTAACCAGGCCAAGGAATCGGTGAAGCAGTTTGAAGGAGCTAGGAGGTGGGTAGTCCTTTGGTGCCTGTATTTTGTCTAGCAGAGCTTCGATACTAGCGGAGGATATCTTGTGCCCAAGTAAGTCAGTGGTGCTTTGGTCAACTTCACATTTATCGGGATTGACGGTAGTCACATGGTGCGTCAGACATTGCAAGAGGACGTCAAGATGACGATGATGTGCATCAGCAAAATATCTGGCGCCCAGAATGTACTTTGAGTAAGGATAAATTCCTTCGAGTCTTCGTGTTACCTCATACATGGTACGTTGAAATTTTTGAGCGGCATTACTGTTGCCGAAAGGAATTCTATGGTACTCGAATAGACCGAAAGGTCTAATGCACGCTGTTTTAGGGATGCCATCCGGCGCTACTGGTAGTTGATGATGAGCACGCACTAGGTCGATCTTGCAATAGATGGACTGACCAGCTAAAGGTGAAGTTAAATCCTGCATATGCGGGTTGGGTAGTTGTCTAAAAGGGTCACTTTTTGTATGCCCTGTAGTCACCACAGGGTAGTTAGTCGCCAGATTTCTTTTTGGTACCATGTGCAGTGATGATTTCCATGGACTCTTTGACGGGCACATTATTCCATGTTCGAACATATTCTCAAATTCCGTCTTAGCTGCTTCGAGTTTTTCTGGAGCTAGTCTGCGTGGGCTGCAGATGTTATGTGTGACGTCCAATACCATGGGAGGTAAGTCTTTTTGAGTGCGGACGATCTTAGACGGCCGGTTAGGAAGGTCTATAGAAGGCTGTGCAACTTGAAGCAGGACACGAATGGGATTGATCGCAGTCCTGTTGATGCTAGTCCCGATAATACTAAGATGTGTCCATGGGTTCATATGCTGCTATCTTTAAGCATCAACGATAAGGTCGAAGTGTTAGAGAAAGGCTATGCCGATGACAATGAAAAGTACAGCTGCTATCATAAAAGCCGGAAGCCTAGATTGAGCGTTAGCAGCTTTCAGCCGAAAGTTGCGCTTGATGTGCCATTAGCGGCACGTGGTCTGCCGGCGTGGGTGAGATGGGGTTTGACGCTAACTTCGGCTCCGGTGTCCACTGGGAACTCGGTACGGAAAGTTAAATCCCTTACGCAGGTGAGGCGATTTTGGTTTTTGCCGGTCACGTCAGTCGCCATTACGGACAGGCCGAGAGTTATCTTTGCTTCTCGGTGGAGTTACAAGGCTTGATACACTTACGAGTTGCGGTACCAAAGCGTTTGTGCTACCAACAGCAAGCCTGCCTATTGTTGGGATGGGATCGTTTTGGGGGTGATGTTGATCAGCTGTAACGACAACGGTTCATGGTGAGTTGTTGGACTTGATGAGTAAGTGTCGCAACTTGTGTTTTCGTGGCTTCTATAGTTGACTGTAAGCCGATGCTTGAAGTGCCCTGGGACTCGACGCCGTTAAAATTGCTAGCGTCGGCTTGTGGCTGTGATCGGTCGACGATCCAATCTGCTTGAGCAGCTTGTTGGGTAAACGATACGAAGCTTACGATAGCAAGAATCGTTTGTGTATTTTCCAGTAGCCTCTGTAGCTATAGTTTTCAGAGTGAAGTCTCATTCTTGTTTGATGAAACAAGTAGCTGCTGCATCTCTCGGGGCGGGGTTGAAAGCATTTTTTTGCCGAACAATGGATCCCTGAAAAGCTGCTGTCTGCGGACTTTCTCAGAAGGCAAGACACGGTACATCATGGCCTCCTTAAGGATTTCATAGCGCGTTTCGGTCTGAAACATGAGGATGTCTCGAACCTGCATGGATATCTTCTTGGAGAGAGAGTACATAAGACTGCTATACTTTGCGTACTGGAAAGTAATTCTGTGGTTATAAAATTCAGCTGCTAGATGAGCAGCCAACAAAAAAGGATTTATGCTCCAAAATGTGGGAAAGAGAGCTACAACGTTACTGGAAGACCTTGGTTTCTGGTCTACAAAATCCGTGGTTTAAAATATTGGTACCAAATGATAAAAGGAAAAATAAACGAAATGTGCTCAACGGCGAAAACTAAATATTCGGCGTTGAATTACTTCCAAACTCGGGGTCATCAATTTAGCGGGAGCC